ATGAGGATGAGAGCCGACGGGTGTCACATCTGGCCGCGTCCCTGCGCAGCCTGGAAGGAGAGCCGGGGAGGGCAGGCTCTGTGGTGGCCCGTCGTCCCAATTAGCAGCAGCCAACATCCCCACTGTGATCTGTCTCACAGCCCCACAACCCCCCTGTGCTACCCTGCTATTAACCCAGGGAAGTTACAGCCAAAAAGCTTAGCTAGGATTTAACCAAGAAAAAAAAAAAAATTCATTAGATATTTCGGGGAGATATTCGAGGGCAGTTAAATATGCCCAGCTCATTGGTGCCTTTGAAAAATCTCACCCCTCTAAAAAATTAGAATTGATTTTGTATTTAAAAATGGATCTATTTTATTTAAAAGCAAGATAATTTGAAATCATGACAGCTTGTATTAATGCTGGAGTTTATGATAATCTATTAAAGTCACTGAAGTTAAGAACCGTCTCCCATCCTCTGCTGCTGAGGCTCCCAGGAGGGTAATGGGGAGCGGGAAGTTGGGGGTGAGGGGCTGCACTGCCCTATTTCAGGGCACAGCAGCTGGGCTGGAAACTGGAGAGGCAGAAAAATCTCCTTCAGCTCTTCCACACTCAGGGGGAAAAAAAAAAAACAGGATGCAAAAAACACCCAGTATTTCAAGATCTTGAAATATCCAGAAAGCACGAGTTCAACACATCAGCTGCGCTTTCCCATTCCTCAAGTCAATTTTACACTCGAAAAGGTATTTCAAGACTTCACTTTTCAAACATTCATTGCACTACAGAGAAGGCAAAGGAGTCAAAGGCACCGTCTTTGGCGCGGTTTTTAATTGCATCGCAAATCTCCACCGAGCCCGAGGGAGGCCAGGGTGCTCATAAATACCCCTCTCGCTGCTGTATAAGCTGAGAAGGATGGGGCCCAAAAAAATTAGCAGCCTGCAGGACTGTGAATCCAGTTAATGACATATCAAATGTGGCTGGATGCCGCCGAGCCAAGCAGTGAGGAAGAAGGGGGTGTGAAGGTGAGCGGACAGGGAATATTGAGCTGCAAATTAGCATTTCTTAATGGGCACCAACCAGCGAAATGCTTCCTCCCTTCAGGAAAAAATACAGCTAATGCAACAAACACAAAATGAGATGAAAGGCAACCATTCCAAATTAAGGTTTCCTTGGTTTAAAGCAGGATGAAACCAGGAGATTTTAAATGCAGGCAGCTCGGTGTGCACCAGCAAGTGGCCCTATCCCGGCTCCCACCTGAAAACTGGTGCTTCCTGAAAATTCAGCAAACCCACAGCAAAACAGGGAAATGCTGTCAGAGTCCCTCTGAGGACAGGTACATAAGGCAGATTTATGGGTGGGAGCACCAAGTTGCTCCTCAGTGAGGCAGCACGTGCACAGGAAGGCAGCCAGTGCAATTAAAACTCTCTCTCTTCATTAGCAAAGAGAGCTACAAAGCAGCAGAAAGCTTTGCCCAAGTGTCTCCTCCCCTCCTAAACCAGAGGTAATAGTCCCACACACTGTCCCTCTGCTTTTGGAAGAATACACGAGTAGATTCAGGGTCCCAATGTTTAGGAGAGCTGAGCACCAACACACTCAACGCGCCCACCTCTGGCACCAGGATGGCCACAACAGGGAGGATGAGGTCTAAATAAGGCACATGGAAAGCAGGCAGCAAGCAATGCCTCACCCTCTAGTGTTAAGATAACTATAAAGTTAGAGCTCATCATTAATTTATGTTACCAGAGCATCTCATCAGGAGTCATCAGGGGTCAGGAGTAAGAGCCGGTTTTGGGATGCCCCACTCAACACACACCTCCCCCGGCACTTTATTTTTAACAAGCACCATACGTGGCTCTCCAAAGACCCCGTTCTCCAAACACCCCAGCACATCTCTAGCTGGGGGAAAAACCTTGACCCATGTGCCCGTCAGTGGGATGCCTGGTTTGGTCGCTGTGGCAGGGAGGTGCCACCAAGGCAAGGGAACCACTCACAACAGTGTCCATGAACACTGGCCAAGCTTGAAAGCCCTTGAATTATTTAGGGAGAATTTGAGGGGGACAGACAGCATCAGAGTGGGATGACAGCCTACCACCCTTGGGCTCCCCAGTCCAGACCCTTTTCCAGATGCTCCCTTCACCCTTTCCCCTGCCATGATCCCAGCCTGCTGCAGCCACCTCCCCACGTGCTCCCACCCTCTTTGTGGGGAAACGGTGGAATGGGGAGACCCCGGGGGAGTTGATTGAGAGCCCATGTGGCAGAGCCAAGGTGCCACTGCCATGAGCCTCTGTGCAGCACTTCCTGGTGCTCCCAGCCCAAACCCAGGCCCTCCCTGATGAGGGGGTAGCACCTGGGTCTGGTCCAAAACTCTGCCAACTGGGAGGCAGCTCACTTTCCCTTGGGAACCTGCTCCCTGTGCACAAGCCCTGGATCTGAAAGACACCAGAGGAGAAGGAGCAGCTGCCCAGCTTCCCCCAGTTCAGACACGGAACCAGACCAGGCTCAGAGTGGGTGTGGGGATTATCCAGCCCTCTGACACATTCAAGCTCAACGAGGTGGGCACAAATGGGTCTGGTGTTTGCCAGGAACGGTGCAAGCAGCACTGTGTGAAGCCACATTCCTGGAAGGATGTTTAAACATACCCCCAGCCCATGCACAAGGGCTTGTGGAAACACAACTTACCACCCACATCAGTTCCATACACTGATCTGACCATGTCCCCACTGAGTGCACAGTGATGCTCTTGGGATTTTTAGGCTGAGGGCTCTCCAGTTCCAGAGGTTCAGCCTCTTAGTCACCAAGCCTGGGTCTTGCAAGACCCCTGTGCATTTCAGAGCTTCTGCCATGCCAGTGTCCAGGCTAACAGTAGTAGTAATAATGATAATAATAATGATTCTAATAATAATAAAACCAACACCCACTCATGGTAAAGCAGCACAACAACAATAACACCCACACATGGCAAAGGGGCCACACCAGCTTCAGAGCAAGCTCTTCTTTCACAGGAGAGAGGAAGATGTAGCGTGGCATTTCCCAGAAGTCACCAAGCCAAAACCCTGGCAAACAGGGAGCCTGAAAGGTACAGGGTACCCTGCCAGCTCAGCCCTCAGCCCCGGCATTCCAGGCAGGGAGACTTGTACTGGGATCCCCGCTGTGTCTCCACAGCCCAAACCCTTGCCTGCTGGGGGCTGGCACAGCCCCATGCATCCCCAGGTTCTTGGAGAACCAGTGTCCCAGGTTGCAAAGCCCCGGGGAGCCCAGCCACCACCAGGATATCAGGGTGCATTGGCACGGGGCCAGTCATCCTTGCATTTGTCTGGCAGCAGAAAGCAGAAGGAGGCAAAAGCAAAACCCTGCCAAGCACCACCAGTGCAAGCTATGGGTGCAGCAGAGGCCTGTCAGGGTCCTTTACTGCACAGCCCAGCGAATCCTCATGGGTTTGAAAAATCCCTGGGGAAATCCCACAGCACCAGCCAGGGTTGTGCCCAGGGACCCTCTCCCGATTCCCGTCCAGATGCTCCCCCCTGGCAGCGCCCCAGGCCCTGGGGCCCATCGGGGTCCAGCTCCTCGGGATTGGGTCTGAGGGGGCCAGAGCACAAGCCTGGGTGGCCTTTGGGGCACCAAGGTGGCGCAGGGCTGGCGGCCATGCCGACGTCCCCCGTATCCGCAGAGCTGCTGCCTTGTTGCCACAGCAACGCTCTCCGGCCTCCGCTGCAGCATCCCGCAGCACAGGGCTGGACCAGGGGGACAGGGGGGCACCACAGCCTGCGGCCCCCTCCCCACACGGCCTCTGGCCTCCAGCAAAACATCCCTGGGTGTCCCCACACACCTCCCCCACGGCATCAGCAGCCCCACGCCTGCCTCTGCCTTCCTCCCAGGAGAAGGGGGATGCCCACTCAGCAGCCAGAGCTGCCTCAAGCCCACCCAGCATCCAGGACTGGGGTTTTTTAGCACATGGAAGGGTCCAGAGGCCATGGAGGCGATGAATTGCTGGGGAGAAAACCCAGTCTGGGGTCACCGCTACACACAAGGGTGGTACAGAGGAGCATTGAGAGGAGCATCACATCAAGCAACACACAGTGCCTCATTTTTGGGCCAACATCCAAACAAGCGTGGCATTTAAAAAACTTAATGGGACACCCAAGGTGCTGCTAGAGGAGCAACAGATGGACAAGGCTTGCAGGAGGTGGCACAGCCACTGTGGGCCTGCTACAAAAGCATTGGTGGCATTTGCCCAGGGCAGGAGGTTATGTGTGGGCAGGGAACTGGTATTCTGCACCAATATCACCCAAAATTAAACATCTCAGTGACTTGTTCCAGATGGTGAGGAGGGAAGCAGATCCCTGAGCACAAGGGGTGGAGGCCTCGCTCTGATCCCAGCATAAACAAAGGAGCAAATTGTTGGCTTTTTCTAGTGGAAGAAAGCTGAAGGAGTCCATGAGATAAGGGCAGATGAGCCTCATACAGTGGGTGAAGAGCAGGTGGGAACCACCCAGACCATGTGAGCAGGCCAAAGCCCAACACCTGGCAGCAGGAGTGCTGGAGGCAGCACACACACAGGCAGACTGGGATACACTGGGCACCCGAGTATTTTTCCATCAAGCTGCAGGAAAGGTGACTCTGCTCAGGGGCAGACAAAGCAGAAACCCTCACCTCCAGCTGGGCACGCTGGGAGCTGACTGTGGGCCTCCTGCCAGCACAAGTCGCCGGTGGCCATGGATCGAGCTGGGGACGAGCCCCGCGGATGACAACCTGGGAATGTACCAGGCGCCCCAGGCCTGCAGCATCTCCAGCCGTGATGCTGCAGTGGGTGAGCTGGCGCCGGGGCAGAGATGCTGCAGCAGGGTGAACCGGCCCCGCGGCCGGGATGCTGCGGCGGGGTGAAACGACACCGGGGCAGAGACGCTGCAGCGGGATGTACCGGCCCCGGGGCCGAGCAGCCGCAGGGCGCCCGCCGGTGCGGCAGGGAGGAGCCCCGCCGCAGGGGATGCTCGGGGGGCCCCGCCGCGCTCCCGCAGGCTCACCCAGCACGAAGTAGGGCAGCTCCGTGTTCTCCAGGTCGTCCACCACCACCATCTCGCCGGGGAAGTCGTTGCGGACTGAGAAGAGCAGCTTGGGCTCGGCGGCCGAGGGGCCGTGCATGATGCTGAGGTCGTTCTCCCGCAGGAAGGGCAGCGCCGACACCGTGATGCTCTTCAGCTTGCACTCCAGCTCCTTGGCCGCCGCCTCCGCCGCCGCCTCGGCGGGGCCGCTGCCCGCGGCCAGGCAGCAGCCGGCCAGCAGCGAGCACAGCCCGGCCAAAGCCATCTTGGAGCCCCGCGCCGCGCTCCCGGCGCCGGGCGGGAGGCGGCGGCGAGGGGCGGGCACCGCGGCCCGGCGCCTCCCCGTGCGGCGCGGCTCGGCACGGATCGGCTTTCCCGGCCCCCCGCCTCCCCCCTCCTCCGCTTCGCCCTTTCCTCCCCCCATCCCTGGAAAAACCGGGAGAGCTGCGGTTTTTAGCGATGCGGTGGCGGGAGGGATGCGGGGACTGCCCGGCCCGGCTACCTCTGCCTGCTTCTGCGCTGGGAAGAGCGTGCAGGTACCACCCCCCGTCCCCAGGATAAATTGCAGACCTCCAAAATCACAGACCTTCAAAATCCTAGGAGAAATCCCAGACATCCAAAATCCCAGGAGAAGTCCCAGACATCCAAAATCCCAGACCTTCAAAATCCTAGGAGAAATCCCAGACCTCCAAAATCCCAGGAGAAGTCCCAGACCTCCAAAATCCCAGGAGAAGTCATGGACCCCAAAAGAAATCACAGACCTCCAAAATCCCAAACCTCCAAAATCTCAGAAGTCATGGACCTCCAAAATCCCAGGAGAAGTTATGGACCCCAAAGCCCCAGAAGAAGTCACTGACCCCCAAAGCCCCAGAAGAAGTCACTGACCCCCAAAATCCCAGAAGTTATGGACCCCAAAGCCCCAGAAGAAGTCACAGACCTCTAAAATCCCAGACCTCCAAAATCCCAGGAGAAGTCATGGACCCCAAAGCTCACAGACCTCCAAATCCCCCAAGCATATACGTACATATATGGAGCAGTACAGCCAACCCCAAACCTGCTGGATCTGTCTCTTTTTGCACTGGATGCTTTTTATTTTCACTTTTTGAGCACAAAGCAGCAGCTTTGTCCGACGGCCACACCTTCCTGCAAGCACCTGTGGTCATCCCTGCAGCCAAAATGTTCTGATGGAAAACGTTCTCCTCTTCCAGTTTGGGGGAAAGGCCCAATCCCCATGCCAGCGGGAATACACGACCATGCTGGTGTGGTTTTCCTCCCTGGGGAATCTCCTGATGGCAGACACCTCTGGAGCTGGGTATGGAGGCATTGCTGACCTGGAAGCAGAGCTCCCACCCCACAGCTCCACCCTGTCTCCTTGTGTGGAACCACACACAGGACGTTACTTTAAAAACTCTTGCAATTTTTTGTGTTTTTCTTTTGTAGAGCTTCTTCTCCTCCCCTTGCAGGGGTTTTCCCAAATTCCTCCTCCCTCATCCGTGCCAGCTGTGAAGCTTAACATGCCCCAGGGCTGGGATCCAGGAGGGACAGCCCCAGACACCCCAAGCAGAGGAGCCACAGTGGGTGCTTTTCCCCAGGCTGATTTTTGACACCCCGTATTTATAACTTCCGTGATATTCTGGGAAGGAAAAACCGTGCTTACCAGAAATTACCTGTATTCAACAGTCAGAGCCAAGCACTGAACTAAACCAGTGAGAATGTAGTGGGATGTGTATCAGCAGCGCTGTCCCCCTTCGGCACCAACTGTCTGCAGCTGCCAGAAAAAACAAGTTAAAATTAGGAAAAATCGGGGGAGGGGGGAAAACCAAACTGAGAAAAACCAGGAAAATCAGGGGAAAAAATAAGGAAAAAAGAGTAACAGACATGGCCCTGCTTTGGGGGAGCATAAGGTAATCCCTTTGGATGTCCTCTGCCAGGCCCTTTAGCTGCTCTTCTTTTTTCACCGGGGGACACACAAACTCATTAAAAGAAGCTATTTTATCCAAAAAAAAAAAAAAAAAAAAAACCCCCCACATAAAAAAGGTGCAATTGCATTACTCAGAAGGTGTCTCCAAGAAGGTCTTTTTGGCTACCCCTTTTGGAAACTGGGTGCATCTCCAGGAGTGGTGTCCCTGGAAGAAGAGTTTGGTGGGAGGCATGAGGAATACAGGTGGATAAATAAAACATATATTAAAAAACAAAACAAAACAAAACAAAAACAAAAACAAAAACCAGCCAAGAGCAGTAAACCTGGCGTCACCAATGCCATCCTCCTGCTGATCACCAACGCATGAGGTTTCCAGGGAAGCTGTGGCTGCCCCATCCCTGGCAGTGTCCAAGGCCAGGTTGGACGGGGCTTGGAGCAACCTGGGCTAGCGGATGGTGCCCCTGCCCATGGCAGGGGATGGACTGGGTGACCTTTAAGGTCCCTTCCCAGCCAAACCAACCCATGACCCAACGACGCCCCGATCCCGGTCACTCCTTCGGGACCCTCGGGCGGGAGCGGGAACGCGGCGGTTCCGGGACCCCCGCGCGCGCCCGCCGGGCCACGCCCCGCCCCGCCCGCCAATGGGGAGGCGCGGGGAGGCCGGCAGCGCCTCTGATTGGCTGCGGCCGCTGCATATATTATCGGCGGTGCGGCGGCGGCGCCCGCGGAGCGCGGCGGGACCCGGCGGGGCCGCGGCACCGGCAGCGCCTGTCGCGACAGTCGCGATCGCGCGATGCTGGCGGCGCCGCCCGGGGCCGCCTGTCCGCCTGGCGATGGGACGGCCGGGAGGCGGCGGCGGGGCAGCGCCCGGGGCCGCTGAGGCGGAGCGGATCGAAGCGGGACGGCACGGAGAGGCGGCCGGTGCCCCACCGGCGCTGAGCCGGAGACTGGGGTGAGTCTGCGGGGTCGCGGAGGGGAGTTGGGGGTCGGGGTGAGCCCGCGTAGGGACTCCGCCCGGGGTGGGATGGGGAAGGAGCCGTGGCGGCCCCGCACGGCGGAGATGCCGGGTACCGCCGCCGGCTCGCTCGGTGACCTTGGTCAAGTTGTGTCCCTGCTCTGGGGTCGCTTTGCAGCCTCTCCGGCGAGGTTTGGAGTCGGGGAAGGCACCGAGCCCTTCCCGGGCGGGAGCCATCGCGGTGCGGGGCGCTGCAGGTGCAGGGAGCTGCGACCGGCCCGGTGGGACCGGGTGCTGGCGGACTGCCGGGATAAACGGGATGCCCGGGATGCTGGGACCTGCTGCTGTATGCAACGGGCACTGCTCAGTGGGAGATGCCCGGGTGAGACACCCTGCGCCCGCAGGGACCGGAGGAGATGCCTCCTGAAATGTTTAAACACGCGTTTCTCCGGTGGGCACCGCTGTATCAATAGCCAGTCGGGGGAATTTCCCCCCATTTTCATCCCCGCAGGGCCCCGCTTCACCGGAGCACCGGGCCGAGCAGCGGGTGACCCGTCGGGAGGTGTTTTCTCGCCGCGGGCGGCTACGGGGCACAGCATCGGCAGCTCAGGGATCGGGAGGTTCCCGCTGCGAGGCTCCGTTCCCTTCCCTAAACACACATTTTTTCAGCAGGAAACAAAACTCTGGGTCTTTAAAGCACTGGAGAGCGTCAGCTCTCGGCGCAGTAGTGCCCACCCTGCCCTGTCGCTTCCCAGGGGACCCGCGTGTCGCTGTCCTGGAGCAGCGGTGGCGGGTCGCGAGGTGCCCCCGCTGTGGTCCCGGGGCCGGGCAGGGTGAGCCCGGGCGCTGCCGGCAGATGTCAGTGTCCCCTCTCTGTCAGCAGCCAGGAGGGTCCCTGCCAGCCCTGGAAATGTTGCAAGGAGGCCCCTGCACTTTTTCCCGAAGCGGAGCTGTCTTTGGTGGCCGCTCGGTGACAGTTTGGAGACCTGGGAAGCAGCAGGGTTCTGGGAAGGGGAGTGGCCCCACTCTGACAGCCCAGATCTCCTCCCTCTCTCTGCCCAGCACCAGCCACCCACCACCTTATTTATCCTGTGCCGCTAACGCTGAGCTGCTGCTGTGCATCACTGCCCACCCGTGACACTTGTCACCTGCGTGAAGGCAAGGGAGGGATGGGAGAGAACGGTCCTCACCTTGCACTGCCTCCAGCTCCTGCAGGAGGCTGGTACTGGGCTTGCGGGGTCCGTTGAGGGGCAGGAGCTGTCCTCCCTGGGGAGGGAGTTGCAGGGGTGCTCTTTTTCCCCCAGCCCCAGCGATCCATCTGCAGGGATGCTTTGGGCTGAGACCTCAGCACAAGGTGGGGGAAGCCGGGGCTGCTGCTGCTGTCACCACGCTCGGGGGAGTTGTATTTTGCACACTGCTTTACTTAAGAGGCTTTTTCGCCTGTGGGTGTGAAAGTCTCGGGTGTGCAAAGCCAGAGGGCAGAACACATGGCACTGGTACGACACACTGCACGCAGCTGCCGTCTCCCCTGGTGGCAGCCCAGGCTTCATCTCATTTGATGTCTTATGCAAATCCTTGGCTCCCCGAGTCCTGGGATTTTCTGCTATTTTCCTTTACTCTCATCTTCAAGTGTCTTGCTCTCGAGGATATGAAGAAAAGCTAATAAAAAGAACCCAAGTCATCGAGTCTTGCAGGTTTTCTAACTGGTCTCATGAGCCGGGAGGGAGGCGGTGACTTAAAGTCCCTTGGCTGTAGCGACTGAACGGGCTGCGGAGGGTGGTTTGCGGGAGCCCAGCGAGAATCAGTTCACAGCCACCACCGTGATCTTCAGCATCCCTGCTCCGGCAGGACGGAAGGCTCCGAGGTGGCTGTCCCCACGCTCGCCGCCTGGAGCCGTGTCTCCGGGGCCGGGTGCCAGGCGGCTGACAGCACCCCGCCGTGCCCACTTTGCCAGTGATTACCACGCTGCTGTCGCTCCGGCGGTGCCTGGCTCGCTCACTTAATTACCCCGGCAGATCAATGAGGCCCTGGCGCTTCCTTGGGAGCGTGCGGATGCGAGCCCGGGGATGCAGCTCGCTGCAAACCACACAGAGCCGGGGAGGGGGCAGCGACGCAGGCAGGGAGAGGCAAGGCAGGGTGTGAGGAAGCTGGGTGCCACGAAGCCCCAGGTAAGGCTGGTGGCTCCAGAGCAATGGGAGAATCCAGCAAAACTGAGCCCTTTGGGATTCTCTGTCCCGGGGGGTGCAAGCAGCAGAGCAAGAGGTGCCCTGGGCGCCTGCATGGATTCATAGACAAGGCTCAGCTGAGCCAATCCACTTCAGAAACTAAACTGCACTTAGCCTTTGCCCAGGCTCTCTTAAGTGGCCCTAATTTGATAAAGCTTTCCCACATTTAATGAG